CCAGATAATTACAAGATTGGTTTCTGTGCGTCTGGTATTATGGCTGTGCCGGAGAGTCGCTTGTGGGGGGCAACTCGTGACCTTGGTAGGGTGTGAAGGACGAGCTGGTAACGTCCCCCTTCCTATGAGACTGCAGTTGCCCCGTCACCACTGGCTCATACCTGGCTTTCCAATAAGCTCTGAGGTGGTGGCCACCTTGCTATCAGGGGGGGAAAAGGCAGAAGGGAGCAACACCCTTTCCCTCCAGGGGATAAATGGTAGCATAGTTTAATGCATGGTCCATTCACTTTTCTGCTGCATGCTGCCAGGCTCTGGATTAAGTCCTTCTGCCTCTGGAGCCATGGCCGTGCCAGAGAGCCGCTCGTGGGGGGCAACACGTGACCTCAGTAGGGCGTGAAGGATGAGCCAGTACTGTCCCCCTTCCCATGAGACTGCTGTTGCCATCACCACTGGCTCATACATGGCTTTCCAATAAGCTCTGAGGCGGCGGGCACCTTGCTGCCAGGAGGAAAAAAGGCAGAACAGAGCAACAACCTTTCCCTCCCAGGGAGGCATGGCACAGTAGTTTAATACATGGTCCATTCACTTTTCTGCCACAAGCTGCCGGGTTCTGGATTAAGTCCTTTTGCCTCTGGAGCCATGGCCGTGCCGGAGAGTCACTTGTGGAGGGCAACTTGTGACCTCGGTAGGGCGTGAAGGACGAGCTAGTAATGGCCCCCTTCCCATGAGACTGCAGTTGCCACGTCACCGCTGGCTTACACCTGGCTTTTCAATAAGCTCTGAGGCGGCGGCCATCTTGTATGCAGTCCAGATGCATTTCTGCCAAAAGCCGCTGGGCTTCGATATTTGTTCCTGAGTCTCTGGGACCATGGCCATTAATCAGCTTGATCAGGGGCCAGAGAGGCCGCCTGTAGGCAGCAACTCAGGGTCTCGCTGGGATGGGGAGGAAAGGGCCAGCTTCACCCCCATCTGGTGAGGCCCTGAGTGTCTCGTTACTGCAGGCCCAAACCTGACTGTCCAGTGGCCTTTGGGGGACGGTGGTCACCGGGCCATCAAGGGGAACATGCTAAGGCACGAAACCTATTCCCGCCTGGAGTGGCCCAGCACCGGTAACCTACTGCAGGGACCCGACGCATTTCTGCCAAAAGCCACTGGGTATCGAGATTTGTTTTGGAGTCTCTGGGATCATGGCCGTCAAGCAGTTTGATCAGGAACCAGAGAGGCCATGCCTCCAATTATATAGCTGAGCTGGAAGTGGTTTGTGGGTGTGTCTCCCACATACCTAACTTTTGGCAGTTTTCTTTCTTGGTAAACTTTGCCCCAAGTTTTTGGGGTCTGGCCAAAGGCACAGCAGCAATTTTGGGGTATCTGGAAGTCTGAAGGCACCATCAGGCTGCTGATGCACTCGCCTCACAGGTACAGATTGACCTGCTGGCGGCACCATACCCCCGTGATTGCTTTAAGATTTAGACCTTTTCATTATTTTATTAATTTGATTGAGATGTGCCTTAATGTAGCTTCCTTCATGTTTATTTTCTTTTGGTTTATCATGTTTCTGGGATCTGTGTGGTTATATTTTCTATCAAATTTAGAAGAATTCGTCGAGAAAGATGGGTCAGTGTGCTGGGTGTGTACTTTGCATGCAGGGGGCACTGGTTCGATCCCAGCATCACACGGTCCCCTGACACCTCCAGGAGTGACACCTGAACAGAGATGGGAATAGCCGTTGAGCACCACAAAATATGACCCAAAAACTAGAATAAAGTGTAAAAACTTGTGTCTTTTCACTCAGAACTTTTCCCTCCTCCTTCTTCCTGGGACTATCATTTTGTCTATGTTTTATTGCTTGATTTTTATAAGTATCAGCATAGGCATAGTTTCTTGTTGTATTTTGCAGAAGAAGAATTTACTCTCCTTTTCCTGCAATATTTGATGCCGTTTTTATATTTTCTTTTTTTTTGGCTTTTTGGGTCACACCCAGCGATGCTCAGGGGTTACTCCTGGCTCCGCACTCAGGAATTACTTCTGGCGGTGCTCAGGGCACCATATGGGATGCTGGGAATCGAATCCGGGTCAGCCGCGTGCAAGGCAAATGCCCTACCCACTGTGCTCCAGCCCCTGATGCCATTTTTAAAGAACTCAGTGTATTTTCTTTTAACATACTGCATTTAGGGGCCAGAGAGAGCACAGTGTGTGAGGAGCCTGCCGTGCACATGTCTAATGGGTTTGACCCTCACCCTGGCATATGGTCCCTGAGCATTGCTGGGGGAGATCCCTGAGTGCAGAGCCAGGAGTAAGTCTAAGCTTCGCTGAACGAGACCTTCCTCAAACAAAGAGATATCATATTTAATATTTCCAGAAGTTCTGTTCAGATGCATTATTTTTGCTTATTGCCGCTAATATTTTTTTTGTTTTATGAGTTCCTTTTAAAGATTGAAGTGATATTTGTTTATAACACTATATAGGTTTCACCTGCACAGTTGCACTGTAGCACTGTCCTCCCGTTGTTCAGTGATTTGCTTGAGTGGGCCCAGTAACGTCTCCATTGTGAGACTTGTTACTGTGTTTGGCATAATGAATACTACACGGGGAGCTTGCCAGGCTTTGCTGTGTGGGTGAGATACTCTCGGTAGTTTGCCGGGCTCTCTGAGAGCGGGTAGGAATCGAAACTGGCTTGGCAGGGCCCGCTGCGTGCAAGGCAAACGTCCTACCACTGTGCTGTCGCTCCATATATCTCAATTTCCATATTTTCAAGTGATTACCCTTATGTTTTCTTCTGCCTTTTTACTCATTGGCACCGTATGTAAAAGCTAGATGTTTGCTCCTTCTCTTGTTGCGCCACATCTGAAGGAGACCAGCCATCTGCTTTCTGTCATTACAGACTAGCTTCATTTTTGAAAACACACAGTCCCCCCATTGTTCATCAGTTTGCTTGAGCGGGCCCAATAACATCGCCATTTTTTTGAGACTTGTTGTTACTGTGTTTGGCATATTGAATACATCACTGTGTCAATTTCCTTACTTCTATAGTTTGAACAATTGTCTATCTCTAAATTTAAGTATACATTTATCCATTATTTTCCTTGAAGTACCATCCGTGTTTTGCTTTGTTCTTATTAAATTCTATAGATAGGTCCTCTTGAATAATTGATCCCATTATAATTATGAAATAATTCTCTTTATAGTCATAATATTTTCTTTGGTATCTACTTTATCAGATAGTACTCGATCACTCAAGTTCTCTCGGTGAGTGTTAGCATGATATACGATTACCAATTTTTCCTTTTAAACTAACTGGTAAGTGAGTTTCTTGTAGGAAGTATCTAGTTAGCTTTAGTTATATGAATTCAGATCACCTCTACTTTTAATTGGCTTGTTTATATAATTTATTTTCAGTTCACTTGTTCTCCTTGGCACTGAATCACTTCTCCAACCTTAGAATCTGTGTTTTAACAAGCTTGCAGGTGATTTTCATGACTTCTCAGGTTTGCAAACTATTATTCTATATCATGACTGATAATCAAAGAAATTTAGGGTGAATCCTCTGTATTCATAATGTTGATAAACATTGTACATGTGATACTATATGAATATGTCATAGAATGCATAAGCATAAGCAAAATGAGTTTTTAAAATCTTGAGATTTATAAGTAATAAATAAAATGTGTCATACTATTTTACTCCTGTTTCTGAGTAGGCTGCCCATCGCCTCACCTTCAGACTTCTCTTATACACCTTGCCAATGCCCTGGAGACTGGCATCTTTTTCCAATAATCTCATGAAGAAGAACCCACACAGCAGCTTCAGGTGGGCCGTCGGGGTGGGTTCCTGGTAGGGCAGCTGTATGGGCCTCATCGTGCCCCAGTGTGAGCTGCAGTGGGACGTGGGCCTATGTAGGTTTCAGTTTTCCCGTGTGATTTCTCTGTGCCCAGGGGGTGAGGACACTGTGTTAGGGCCTCTGAAGCCTCAGCCGCTATCCCGAGAGCCGGTCGTGCTGGGTCCCGCCCCTCCTGGCAACTGTGGGCTGCACTAGTGGCCTGTGGTTCCACTCGGACTGGACTGCATCCAGGGGTAGCCCTGGAGATTCCATCGGCCTTTGGCTCCCATAGCTCTATCAGTCACAGACTTCCCTCTGGCCTGCGCCTCCCTCAGAAATGGTTCCTTGACAGGAGAAAGAGCCAGCCCTGAGGAGCACTAATCACAGGCTCTAGTTTAGAAAGTTGAGAATGAAGAATTATCACTTCCAGTGCACACAGCTCACCCTTAACTCTGAGTTCTGTGACCAGTTGTCCTGCCCACAGGTGACCAAACACTTCCTCCTCCAGCGTTTCCCTGTACTGGAAGGCTTGACTCAGATCATTATTCTTGGCAGAAGTGGGCACGCTCACTGTGGCTCTGCCCAGTCCTGTCAGCCCAGTGGAAGCAGAGCAGGAGCTACAGCCTTTCACCCGACTGCCGTGATACTTTCTGGATGCTGTCAGGACTTCCTGGACCTCATTTTCTTCATCTATAGAGTCAGGAGTTGGGAAAGATGAATTCTTTTGATATGTGCTACTCTTGGTCATGCTCAGGGACCAGTAGGGCCTCATCGCAGGGTGTTTGGGGGGTGCAGAAAACCGGCTTGGGCCTTGCAATGCTAGGCCTGTGCTCTATCACTGGTCAACGGCAAATTTTTTGTTTGTTTGCTTGTTTTTTTATTTGTTTTTGGGTCACACCCAGCAATGCTCAGGGGTTACTCCTGGCTCTGCACTCAGGAATTACTCCTGACGGTGCTCAGGGGACCATGGGGGATGCTGGGAATTGAACCCGGGTCAGCCACGTGCAAGGCAAATGCCCTCCCCACTGTGCTATCACACCAGCCCCCAATGACGAATATTTTTAAATTGATTTTTTTTCTAAAATCACCTTTTATATAATTTCACAGCATGCCAGACTCAAGGCAAACAAAACTTCCATGAGTTTGTGTTAGTTCAGTAGTTTGTATATAAAGACATATTTTTAAAAATATTTAATAGTCAATGCTTCACGAATTTATATTTCATCCTTGGCCAGAGACTGTGCTAATCTCTATGTTGTTCCAGTCTTAGTATATTGCTGCTAAAAGTAGCACAGTCCTTCAGTATACTTTTAAAAAGTAGTTCAAAAGTCTAGCTTTCTGGAATTTTAGGCCTTCACGTTTTAGAGCCGAGAAAATACAGTTAAATGGTACAGTTATGTAGTGCCTTTGCTTGATCTTACTGTCACTAGGGAACTTCTTCAGAGGGGCAAGATGAAATTAAGAGTTTATTTAAATTTTTAAAAAAGCATCTATTTCAACTTGCCTTTGGCAAAGCAAAAGGACTCTTATGTTATTAGGAATTGTGTTCTTTGTACAAAAGTCTAAGTGCCAAATAAAGAAACAGTCTTACAATGTTGTTGCCACGTTCAAAGAGAAAGAGTAGTAAGCTTTAGGAAAGTCCCAGTTTGAAGCATCTCAGTTGTAGTCATTGGTCGCAGCTACACTGCAGAAGGGAGTTTAAATGCTGAACTTTAGAGTATCACAGATTTTAGGGACCAACAGCCTAGCAACATACTCCCTGGAAAAATGTGAAATGTGTCAAGTGTTTTAAAGAAAGAAGTAAATTCTATTTCCCAATAATATCACTTCTGGATATATTCCCTAAGGAAATTAGAAAGATGTTGAGAGCTTAGTTGATAAAGATGCTGAGTACAGAGTTTTATGCCTATAGAGTAGGAGACTATTGGGTGCTGTCTAATGCCAAGGATAGGGCAGTGAAATGAATTATTCCATCCTCAGAATGGAATATATGAAAACATAAGCTGAACTTAATGATTGCACAACTTGAAAACAAAATCATAATATGTGAATTGACAAAACCCAGGTTCAGAGTAATGCTGTGTAAAAATACTGCAATAATCATGACGCAGAAAGTATGACTGTCAAGAAGCCTGACAGAGAAGAGGTGTGTGGAGCACTGCCTTCCATCCCCGGGGGTTAGAGAAACTCTGCAGCTATTGCTCTGTTCAACCCGACTCACCAACTGTCCATCCCTCACTTTTCTCATTTATGAAACGGGCATACTGTAGCCATTCCCTCATAGGTCGAAAGGTTTAGTGAATGAATTATTAGTGGCTAAGAATAAGGCACGTGGTAAGTATTACATATGCGATTGACTTTATTGTTGTGTGAAGTATTTACCTTGTTTCACCTTCAGTGCCTTTCCATCGATAGATGCGCTGAGAGCTTGCTGGCCTCCAGCAGGAGAGAGCGGTCACTCTGTTCCCCTGACCGAAGGACGGTCTGTCTCCGTTTGGGGAAGGCTGTCCTCTCCCACTGAACGAGCAGCTCTGGAAGGGAAACACATAGAGTGGTGGAGGAAGGGAGGGGACATTCGCCTGGCCAATGAGATTAGCCTCATTAGCCCTGCAATCAATGGGGTGACAGAGGCAGTCAGATAGCCATCACAACTCAAGCATTACGACGAAATCAAAAGATACTTGGAAACAAATGAGAATGAAGACATGAGCTACCAGAACTTCTGGGATGCAGCAAAAGCCGTTTTAAGGGGAAAATTTATAGCTCTGCAGGCATATCTCAGGACAGAAGAAAGGATGCACATAAACAACTTGACTTCACAGCTCAAGATCTTAAAAAAGGATCAACAGAAGGAGCCCAAATCAGGCAGAAGGAAAGAGATCATAAAACTTAGAGCAGAAATCAACGACATGGAAACCAAAGAAACAATCTGAAAGATCAATGAAACCAAGAGCTTGTTCTTTGAGAAAATAAATAAGATAGATTAAACCACTAGCAACACTCACAAAGAAACACAGAGAGAGAACCCTAATAAATAGAATCAGAAATAAGAATGAGGATATCACAACAGAAACCAAAGAAATTCAAAAGATCATCAGAGACTACTTTGAAAGTCTGTATGCCACGAAACAAGAGAACCTAGAAGAAATGGATAAATTCCTGGATTCCTATCATCTCCCAAAGCTGAATCAAGAAGATATAGAGTACCTGAATAGACCTATTCACATCTCAAGGAAATTGAAACTGTAATCAAAAGTCTTCCCAGAAACAAAAGCCCAGGTCCAGATGGATTCACTAGCGAATTTTTCCAAACATTTAAAGAGGACCTATTGCCAGTTCTTCTCAAGCTTTTCCAGGAAAGTGAAAAAACAGAAACTCTCCCAAACAGTTTCTATGAAGCCCATATTTCCCTAATACCAAAAGGAAACAAAGACACCACAAGAAAAGAAAACTACCAGCTGATATCCCTGATGAACACGGATGCGAAGATTCTCAACAAAATACTAGCAAATAGAATTCAACAACTCATCAAAAAGATCATACACCATGACCAAGAGGGATTCATTCTGGGGATGCAAGGATGGTTCAACATTCGGAAATCAATCAACATAATCCATCATATCAATAAAAGAAAAGATAAAAATCATATAATAGATTCAGAGAAAGCATTTGACAAGATCCAGCACCCGTTTGTGATGAAAACCCTCGCCAAAATGGGGATAGAGGGGACTTTCCTCAATATAATTAAAGCCATATACCACATGCCTACAGCAAACATCATCCTCAATGGGGAAAAACTGAGAGCCTTCCCCCTAAGATCAGGAAGGAGACAAGGATGCCCACTCTCTCCACTACTGTTCAATATAGTACTGGAAGTACTTGCAATAGCGATTAGGCAAGAAAAAGATATTAAGGGCATCCAGGTAGGGAAGGAAGAAATCAAGCTCTCACTATTCGCAGGATGATATGATACTATACTTAGAGAATCCTATAACCTCCACCAAGAAACTCCTAGAAACAATAGACTTGCATAGTGAAATGGCAGGCTATAAAACCAATACCCAAAAATCCATGGCTTTCCTATATGCAAATAGTGAAAGAGAAGAAAATGACATGAAGAAAACAATTCCATTCACAACTGTGCCCCAGAAAATCAAGTACCTAGGAATCAGCCTAACTAAGGAAGTAAAGGGCCCGTACAAAGAAAACTACAAAACGCTACTTCAGGAAACAAAAGAGGACACGGGGAAATGGAAAAATATCCCCTGCTCATGGATGGGGAGAATAAACAATGTCAAAATGGCAATACTTCCAAAAGCACTGCACAAATTCAATGAGATTCCTATAAGGATACCCATGACATTCTTCAAAGAAATGGAGCAAACACTCCTGAAATTTATGTGGAAAAGTAAGCCCCCACGAATAGCTAAAGCAATTCTTGGAAAAAAGAAAATGGGAGGAATCAACCTCCCTAACTTCAAACTCTACTGCAAGGCAGTAGTAATCAAAACGGCATGGTACTGGAACAAAGGCAGAGCTGCAGACCAGCGGAACAGAGTTGAATATACTGACATTTCCTCCCAAACATATAATCATCTAATCTTTGATAAGGGGGCAAGAAAAGTGAAATGGAGCAGGGAAAGCCTTTTTAATAAACTGTGCTGGCTACATGCAAAAAAGTGGGCTCAGATCTCTGCCTAACACCATGCACAAAAGTAAGATCGAAATGGATTTATGACCTCAACATCAGACCGGAATCCATAATGTTTATTGAAGACAAAGTCGGCAAAACTCTCCATGATATTGAAGCTAATGGTATCTTCAAAGATGTCATGCCACTGGCCAAGCAAGTGTAAACAGAGATAGACAAATGGGAGTATCTTAAACTAAGAAGCTTCTGCACCTCAAAAGAAACAGTGACCAAATACTAAGACATTCTACAGAATGGGAAAGGATATTTGCCCAATAACCATTGGACAAGGGGTTGATATCAAGGATATACAAGGTACTGGTTGAACTCCACAAGAAGAAAACACTCAACCCCATCAAAAAATGGGGTGAGGAAATGAACAGAAAATTTCTCAAAGAAGAAATCCGAATGGCTAAAAGGCACATGAGAAAATGCTCCACATCATTAATCATCAGGGAAATGCAGATCAAAACAACAATGAGATATCATTTCACACCACAGAGACTGGCCCACATCCAAAAGAACAAAAGCAACCGGTGCTGGCGCAAATGTGTCGAGAAAGGGACCCTCCTTCACTGTTGGTGGGAGTGCTGACTGGTTCAGCCCTTTTGGAAAACAGTATGGACGATTCTCAAAAAATTAGAAATTGAGCTCCCATTTGACCCAGCAATACCACTCCTGGGAATATATCCCAGAGAGGCAAAAAAGTATAGTCAAAGTGACATCTGCACTTGTTTGTTCATTGCAGCACTCTTTACAATAGCCAAAATCTGGAAAAAACCTGAGTGCCCGAGAACAGACAACTGGTTAAAGAAACTTTCGTACATCTACACAATGAAGTACTATGTAGTGGTTAGAAAAGATGAAGTCATGGGGGGTGGGAGGGATACTGGGACCTGTGGTGGTGGAAAATGGGCACTGGTGGAGGAATGGGTACTTGATCGTTGTTTAACTGAAACCCAAGCACAAAAATTTGTAAGTCTATAATTGCCTCATGGTGTTTCACACACACAAAAAAATATTCTTCCTGGTTTCACTTGGTCCCTGGAGGCATATACACACCCAACTCCTCACAGCTTAGGAGCTGGTAAGTTTATATATTTTATCCATGGTTCATGCTCTGCTTACTTTATGTATTTTTTATCTTGCTTCTTGGAAAGTTTTTACAATATACTTAGCTAAACCTCAGTATGAGCTGTGAGTGGTTGTCATTAGGGTTCACTATCACTATCACTATCATCCCGTTGTTCATCAATTTGCTTGCACAGGCGCCAGTAATATCTTCTTTTGTCTCTGTCACGTGCCAGTGTAGCCCGATGGCATACTGGGGGCTCTTTCAGGGTCAGGTAAATGAGGACCACAATTGTTACGGTTTTTGGCATATCCAGGGGCCCGGGCGAGGACAGCCAGGTGCGGGGGCAGGAAACTCTTGTCTTGATCTCTTGTGATTAGGGTTATTTAGAATAAAACACTAAACATTTATATTTTGTAGGATAACAATTGATTTGTCCTTTCTTTCTTGCCACAAGGAGCTTAGGTTTATCGGGTCACCCCTATCATAGTGCTCTCAAGTCACTCCCATACCTTTGTTTATCTGTAACC